TACAATGATGATAATGTCGTCTGGGGTGATAATTTGGTGACCTTACCACTGGCGTGTACACGAGATCCAGTTCGATGTGCCTGTTCAGTGAGTTGACTGGAGAGTGCCAAGCCTCCAGAAATTTTCAGGTGCTTTGACCGGGCTTTGGTAGACGATTCTCACTGATTAGAAGTCTTATTTCTAACCTTGATTTTCTTGGAAGGAAGTCAGCGAGAGTGAGTCATGTCTTCTAGCAGTCAACCGATATTCACGAATCCCTTTCCAGATTGCCCGGCATAGTGTTTTGGGCAGTTCTTGCAGTTTATTTTACAGATAACATGGCTCGTATCATTTTATTATTGTTTTCTTCAATTTTGATAGGATTCTCCGGATGTAGGTAGGTCGTTTTGTGGGCGACTTTGCTTCTGTATGATCTGAGCAGTCTTGATATCATTTTCGAAATGTCCTTGACATACCATAGAGTTGCTATTGTTCCTGATTTTCCGGTTGTTGTTTGTTTTCTTCGCGATAGTTCAACGGCGAACCAGGTCGAACACAACGAGAACACGGAACTAAAATAGTCGCTGAAGAAGGACGGGTATAATCCGAACACCGCCAACTCACAAGCACTGAAAATGTCACCTCGGGTGGTGATGAAACGTTTGCAAACAAATTACCAAGCTCGACGAAACTCATTCCAGTCTATCCGAGGTACGAGAACCGACCTTCAATACCTTGCCAACTACGATAATTCAAATCGGATTAAAATTGAGAGATATTTGGTAGGAACAGAACCGAAACCCGAAGGAATAGGATGGAATGACAATAAACAAGCGACCATCAGAGGCTTTACGGCACAACCTAATTGGAACTTTTCTTAAGGCGTATAGTGCTTTCCACCCAGAAAAAAATCCGCCGCATCGATCGGGGCAATGCGATGAGAACTGAAATTGCTGGGCACAACTTGTGCTACAGTATCCCAAGGCACACTGAAAAACATAAGAGGAATGCGCAACGGCAGAGGCCGTTTATTAGCGTAAACCATAGACAAACGAGGCATAGCAATTCACAACTTACCGAGGTCTGGTTGGATAAGCAAGGCCTGCGCAGCCCGTTTTTGTGAATGTATGTGTGTATGTCAACTCACGTCAGAAGATGAACAGTGGAAAACAAATAAACACGAATAGCTTGAGTGGATTCCGTCGCTGAATACGGGAGGGTTGATCACTTGCTGTGTTTGCTGTGAGAGCGCTCTCGCCGTCGAGATCTATCATGCTCATGACGGTGATGACGAGAATGTGGCTGATGTTTTTTTGACTTCTTAGGTGACTTTGAGCGACTATGCTTTTTCTTGGAATGCTTTTTGGCGTGTTTGGAACTATGACTTTGTCGATCGTGTGTGTGACGACTTTTTGTGCGCGAAGAGGACGAAGATCGAGAAGATGACGAAGACGCGCGAGAAGAGTGTGATGTCGACCGTGATTTGGATCGACCGCGCTTGTGAGAGCGTGACAATGTGGTCGGACGGGACGAATTGGAATGGCTAGATCGATACGCTTTCGGAGATCGAATAGGCGAGCAATGACGAGTACGGGACGAGGAGTGATCGCGATCTGGTCTGGACCGCTCAGTGACAGACTTGTGTGATTCGCGCGAACTGTTTCGTTTTTTGTTCGTGTCAGATTGCTCGTTTTCACCATGGCTACCGGATCGTGCAGCGCGATCAGATGGACTATCCGTGACGTGGTCTGGTATGATAGTCAGGCGATGGACGGGTGGTCAACAGTAGGGATGATAGTGTAAAACGAATGAGTTCACAACAACAGCAGTTCTGACAGACCATAAACGCTAATCAACGAGTCATGCAAAATGAGAACCGGAACGGAATCAAACCGTCATTTAGTTAATTGGGCAAAATAGCATCAACCAAGCATCTGTTTACTGTAAACATTCAATCAACAATAGACCTCAGACTCTACGTGTCGCAATATATTTGAGAACTTTCAGTCACTGGTGAATGGCTCGAGAATACGTTAGACAAGACCACCATCAGCCTCCAAATGTCGAACAATGTTTATTATTATTACTATTTTTGGGGAGTGGGTGGGCGTTAGAAGCAAGGTAAAGGACCCTCTGAAAAACGGAATACAATAAAAAAGACGATAGAGGCGATCAGATAACAAACAAAACGTAGGCTTTATATCAAAAGCAAAATACATACCGGAAAGACTGATAAGAGGTTCGCACTATTGTAGAGCGCTACTTTAGTTCTTCCTTTATTGCGGCTGGCTACTTGAATGGGGACGGGGTGAGGATAAACCACCCTCATGAGGTTTCATGTGGGCTTGGTATAAGAGTAACCCACCAGAGTCACTCGACTTTTTATTTAGAGGGCTCACTCCCGTCCCATGTACAACTAAGTACGGACTAAAAGACAGCAGTGAGTTGGTGCATGGTTGCCGGTGGCCCACTATGAGCTCAATAGACTGGTGCGGATTTAGTCAAGGGATTTACACATTCCTGTTAGATTAAAAGATTACCTTCATAGCCATTGGAGCAGGCAGTAAATTTCGTCCACCCATTTAGGAGATGTCCTCATATGCCACGGGCTGTATAGCTGAGTTATTAGGCTTCGGTTACTCTCAACCTGGTTTCACCCGCCACAGCGTCATTGTACGGCAAAATACAGTGACCGATGCCAAACTCACAATACACACAAAGTACGAATGCGTGACTTGGATAGGGGATGGATCTGTTCTGAAAGAAGACCAAGGAGGGTGAATCTCTGCGGCAAACATATAGGGGACACGGTTCAACTGTGTATACACCCCCCCGTAAGCAGTGCAATTCTCCATACGTCTACTACTATTACTAGATTTTGATCGCCGTGCGGCCTTCCTCATTCGTGTGCGTGAGACAGGGAACGGTACGACACAGATGACAGGTCTGGGTGAGCGTGACCTTATCAACGGCACCTAAACGCGATAGGACGGGTGCACGCACGCACGTACGCTATCAGCATTAAACAAAAGTGGGAAAGAGGAAAAGGAAGAGCGACCGAAAAGCTTACCCGAGACAGTGGCGTGAGAACGAGAGCGCTCCTGGCCAGAATATGGCACAGGTGAAACATTACCAGTGTAAGATGATTTTTGGGACGACTGTTTGCGGTCAGACTTCCGTGAACCGGAGGATGAGGATTCGTGTCGGTGGCGTGTTTTCGAATCGGGGTCTCGTGAGGATTTTCTTTTGTGATCTACAGTGAGCGAGACAGAGTGATTTCAATAAATACCGCGGTTAAGACAAAGCAGAAATGATAGAGAAAAGAGCGATCACACGAGAGCGGTAAACGGACAAGCAACAATTGACAAGACTGCTTACAGAAATGACCGAAATCTTCAAAAGAAAAAAAACAACCAGAGGAACATCTACAGAAAGGGCCATTCAAACAGTTTTACAGTGATAAATAATAATAATAATAATAAACCCATCATTTCGGGACCACCCGACAACTGAGGGGCAAAAGAGGGAACCCTAATGAATAACACAACCAAATGTGGGTGCTTGTAGTCAAGCTGAGGCGTGAACCCTGCCACAACCACCTCTCCTTAATGTTAGACAGTTTCGCAGTCGTTTGACCCAATAACAAACCTGTTCAGCGGGGTTTTATGTGGTTTGCCACAAAAAGCTGATGATAAAAAGTTCCTTTCCATTGTGTTCTTTTAATTCCACCAGGTTCAACATTCTATTGCTGGTCTCACTTCACTTCGAATCCTATTGACCAGGATGATGGCGTTGAACCGATTTCACTACAAACTATATTCACTATAAAATTGAGAAAAAGAACCCACAGCATGTTGTACTCAAATTAGCCTAATCATAACAACATCCATTTCATAACAGGCATATTTTCTGCCATCCGGCTTGATACGATATCTACCCTGTTGGGGTTTCGTATAGCTTGGTACTTCTATTCCTCTGGATTTCACTTACTGGTTCTCGTGATGAACGAGCTGATCCTCGTAACCATGGGATTCACCGATTCAAGTGTCTATCCCAATGAAGTGTGCATACAAAATAGGTTAGCAAATTCATTGTGAACAACCACAGCTCATTCAAATCCTGCAAGCATGTGTAGCTACCTTAGAGGACAAAGCAGCTGCGCACAACAGGCGATGAATGGGATCGCTGAATAGCATAACAGAACTCACCACCAGAATGTCGACTTTCTCGCGACAGTTCCTTGTCAACTTTAGAACGACGTGAATCCAAGTCCACCTCGACATCTACATTTTGATGAGGCACTTGAGGTTCGTTGTGCTCGGATGCGGATTCCGTTGATGGGTTCGGATGATGTTCATCCTCCGAGGAGCTATCTTCACTGTCGTAGGCTACCAAACCTGAGAACCGATGAGCAGAATTAAAAAGCAATTGGTAGGTCACAAAACTGTTTGTATAACGATTCAAGAAAAATCGACAGCATGTATAACCGGTAGCCCAAGTGAATCCTATCTTTGAGTTAGGAGTTTGTAATTAGACAATATAAACTCCGCATATAAATGAATAAGTGACGGAGAATTCTGAGGAAACACGAGACATTTAGATGTGATTACGCAACATTAAAAACAGACGAGAATGTTACGGTTTAGGAATCACATTTGAGTGAAAAGTGAGCCCCGAGAAACACAAATGTAATCATAAAAATCAAACGTTAATGCTATTGAATACCATCATTTAAATCTGTGAACGTAAGGACCTAGCCTCGTAAGATACAGTATCAACAAACGTGTTAGTTTCGTATCGGTTGGATGCATTTCAGACCTGAATAGCTTCGCTGTCTTTTGACCCCATATCATACATCTTACCGGGGGTCTTATGTAGTTAAATCCCTGGGGTCAGATCCCGTTACCGAACACTGGAATCTCGTGACCTAAGCACTATTTGTCACATTAACATGTGTAAAAAAACGGTGCAAGTTAGAAAAATCAGATTCCATTGGGATGAGGGAACTGGTGTGCAAAACTGGAACAGAAAAGTTCTCAACCATTCGTCCATCAGTATGAATAGGTCACAGAAAGTGATGTTCAGAGTTGACCTATCGTTCAAAGGTAGCTAATATCTGCCTTAATCCGTGAAAATCCACAAGCATATTGATAAGGTGCTTTCGCACTGTCACATTTCGTGAAATGTGTTATCATACCTGTATTCCTGGATGAAACAGACAGGTCTGAAAGGGATAGAAAATATTACGCGATCTAAGTGATGTGAGAAAAATGAAACCAATGAATACAAGGGTGTCGTCGCTCAGATGATACCGGTGTGAACGGTACTCCAATCGATGTAACGGAAAAAAAATTACAAGAATGGTTGAGATGTAAAAAGGTCACCCAACAGAACATCGGTGTGACGATTGGGTGCACCTGAGAGATATGGATCGATCAACGATTGACAGACTGGTGAACGGAGTCGTCGTGACTGTCGATAAAGGTCAGCTGAGCAAAGACTCTTGCAACAGTTGCACCACTCTACTTGGTCAAGCACGGTACAAGCAGCATGCAGTTGGACGCACGGAAAAAGATGACCAGTC